CCATGCTCGAACGAATGTTCCCTTCTTTGGCACAGTTTCAACACATCACACTCAACACTGCTGCGGCATGGTTTCACCGAGTGGTACCGAGACCGACTAACGCCGATACACAGCACAGGCACGATACAAACAGACCACTTGAGCCGGCCTCGGATGCACTGCAACAGTGTATCTCGTTCTACCGGTCTGTCCCCCCGTCTAAATAGATGCCCGGTCAGTCACGAAGACTTTCAAGAAAAAAAGGGGGCCCCCTGCGAGAAAAGGGGCAAAACCAGCTCCATAAATTCCTTTTTTTATTAAGTGCCTTAAAGAGCACGTCCTTGAGTTCCCCTCGCGCTACTTGCCCGTAGTTTGTTGCCTTCGCGTTAAAGTGAGACCAGGAATCATGGCTTCCCTTGAGTCAGCACTGATTTCATGTTTATGGTGTCATGTCAAGGGCGCAGCCGTACCACAGCAGGGGCTCGGGGGAAAAGCCTCCCGGAAAAAAAAAACCACAAGAGACAAGACCACGGAAAAAAAAAACCCAACGAAACGTTTACTTTTTTATTTAATGCAAAAAAAAATTAAATGCAGATTTGGTATGCATTATTCCAACAATATTGACTTTTTATTTTGCATTTTAAAATTAAAATTTGCATTTTGAGCATTTTAATTTATGTACAAGGATATCCAATTAATATCCATGAGATTTCCTCAATGGACTCAACCAAGGCTATGGCAAGACAAATTGCTCCAGAGTAAAACCTCGTTTATCCAAAACAATCCAGGGGAAGGACATATTGGATATCCGAGGTTTCACTGTATACATCGCAGCAATACATCAAATAAATGAAATGTCCGTAGCGTGTGTTTTCTTCAACTATGATAACAATTAACCTTTATTTCATTTTTCTGAGGAAAAGTTTTTTAACACGTTGACGACCAGCCTATTTTTGCTTGTCCGCCGCGTGGGACCACGCGCATTTTTTTTTTAATGAAATCTGCATCCTGGCATCAGGACGCATTGTCGCCAACGTGTTAAAAACATTAATTTTTTCAATACTTTTTATAACCTAAACACAAGGGAGGAGTCAGTGAAAATTACACCAGGACGTCCTCAAAACTACTACAATGAGCTTTTCTTTTTATCAACACGCTAATACATAGCCGGATGGCTGTTTTCCCCAAGGACCCTCTCTGTCGCAAAAGCGAAGCCGAGCGTCGTCTGAATTGCACCAAACCGCTATGACTTCCCGCGGGAGAACTCGACTTCATTTTGTAGGTGTAACCATGAACTTTACGCAAAGAGAACAAAATCAATAGTACCAGTACTGCATCGATACAGATGACTTCCGATTCCAACGTGCCAAAAACAAAAATCCATCATTTTCCTCTAGTCCCCCCCCCCCCCACTTACGTAATTATTTTCAAGCTTCCGCTGCAGCTGCCCTCAAGGCCACGCCCTCCTTAATGAAGTCATCACGCTTGAAGACATGGATCCGATGGATCCAGACAAGGATCCAATTATTTCCTCATTCACGAATCCCCCGCATCCCCGAGCCCCGCCTTTGTCATCTTATTCCCGCCTCACGGTCAAGGCCCTGATTGCCGATACAATAACACCCCCCTCCCCTCTCCAAAAGAAAAAAAAATTCTCGCATCCAATCCCACTCCCTCCCGAGACGACGAAACCCCCTCGCCTCGCACATCTCCCACCTTCAACATAAGAAACGGAGGAGCGACCCCGAGGAAGCAAGATGGGCGATAAAAGGCCGGTTAGAGACGAACCCAGGAACCTCATCCTTCTCACGAGCCCACTGTCACGTGACAGCTCCTACTCTTCCATAAACTCATGAGGTGAAAGCACGGCGTCGACACGTCCCTCTTTTTCTTCTTAACCCCTCCCCCACTTGTCACATCGATCCAGACAAGACTGCGACTGACAGCCATGAAACTATGTTTTCGTTCCTATCAGAACGGACTATCGACTTTATCTAGTACGGGAATATCATCCCCAAGAGACGAACCGATTGCAACAGAGTTTACCAGTGGGAATTTTCCTTCTCACCGCTTAGAGAGGCGGTTCATCCAAAGCCGTACCCTAGTCTCCCTCGAGATAAAATACGACACGTGACAAACACTTTGAGTCTGCCCTATCACGCACTCCACAGAAATGACCTCAGCATTTGAAAAAAAAAAGGCAACGCTTATTGCGAAATTGCCCCTTATATGTGATCCAGATTCAATTTTCTTTTTAGTCTCAAACAATGTGGTCGGTCAACTTGTGTGAGCAATTCATTCATCCGAATTTCCACGTACCCTTTCCAGGTATGATTTCCAACAAAAAAAAAGCGTCGCGATTTTTTTTTCTTTTTAATCTCATAACGACTCCCACTAAAGGGGATACATTACCTTACCCAAAAATGTTTAAAATTTACATGAAAGGAAAAGCACTGGCGTCACATGGATTGGTACAGATCGGCCACTCTATTCAAAATGAACAATTTTATTTTTTCTTTTCAGAACAGACATAAAGCAAACGCATGGCCCTGGAAAAGGCGTACCATATGCTAAGGTCATTAAGCGAACGCACACACAGGACTACTTTAAACAGCGTATAAAATCGCCCAAGTGCCTCGGTTTCCTGCTCATCCACGTGTATACTGTACAACTGGTTGCATACAGCACACATTGGGTGAAGGCCACCATATGTAGTCACAACAGCAACATTAAGAAGAATAACTAGCAATGAAAACACAAAGAAAACCTGTTCCACATTTTTCCTGTGAGGGTAAGAAAACACGGACTCGGATCACGCCCTCATTTCCGGTTTATCAACTCCAATACATTCTTTTGAACCTCCATCCTAGGCCTCAAAGCATTCGTGGATTCGACTCGACCTCTCTAGCTTTCTCGTGATATCCATGCGCCTTCGATAAGGCAATCCCACCCCACATCCCAAGGGTTTCCATTTAATTATCCACCGGGTTCGAGTATTGACTCCCTGAGCTGGATGGTGGGATCAAAGAAGGACAAATCACAAATCCTTCCCTTCAATCGAGATTAATGCAACCCCGCGGAACCGGAATATCGCTCTTCAATCCCTAGGGACTCTGACTATTTCGCACTTCATAACTATTTTCATGAATTTTCACTCAAAAAGAATCACAAACCTCACACGATGATACCGGCACTTCCGAAGTGTCACTTCGGTGACACTTCGGAACACGGTGATACCGGCACGATAAATGAATATCTTTCTACGCTGTTCCTTTTGCATGCGTGACATCAGCCACGGCCCCTCAATAAAACCTGCATGAGCTAGGAAAAAAATGTGAACGATAACCGCTTCTCGGAAAAAATTCGAACGGAGATGATACGGGCCCAGAATTGTCACCGACGACGATGCCTTCCAACGCTCGGCACTCGACAGACCTCTCCACGTGGACGATCCCTATATCTCCAGATTGCTCTCATGATGTCCAAGGCCACCATAATCAATCCCCATCACGGTGCGTTTCCTCTCCACACAATAGACACGTTGACACGAACAAGACGCTGTCACACACACACACACCCCCTCGCAACTCTACACGGCCAAGATCCTGTCACCAAATTACACTCCCACGACCCTAAAAACCAACCAAACACGCTGACAAGATGTTTCCCCCCCCCCTCCCCCATTATCTGCAAGATGAAAGAAACACCACTTCCCTGCTTCACCATCTCGCGATCGACGATCGAGACAACGCAAACCATACACACAATCAAACCACCCCCCCCCCCCCCCCCCCCCCCCCCCCACCCCCCCCCCCCCCCCNCCCCCCCCCCCCCCCCCCCCCCCCCCCCCCCCCCCAGTTCCACCCCACACCGATCCCCGACCGAAACCGGAGTGAAACCCCGACAGATGCACCGCGCAGACCAAGACATGAGCGAAGACGACGTCGAACTGAGGGAACACCTCCAGGGATGGGATCCAGAGACCCGACACGCATGCTCCATTCCCTCCCGACACTAAAAAACGGATCACTTTCCACGTCTTGGCGGTCTAATTTGGGTTTCCTCTTCCGATCGCTGAGACGGGATGCGTGTGTTTGGGCTGGAACGAACGAACGAGTTGACAAACGTAGTGAAACCTCGGAGAGACCTTGGGGAACACAACGAAAACGGCTCTCCAGAAATAGCACACAACACACCGCAATCCAAGGAGGCGCCAGTTCGTGAATCCTTCTTTTCTTCGCATCTGTCAATGAACCCCAGTGTGGGAGTGAGACGCCAACTACCCACGACCGCAAAAAAAATTCAAAGTAAGTACTTAACATGCACCTGATGAAAGCTTTCCCTGTCCTACGTCCCTTCTCGTGCGAGGAAAGGCACTGAAAGTCGTGATGACTAGATGCAGGATTACAAAGCAAGTATGCCGTTAATGAACACACTCCTACGCTACTCATGTAAATTGAACGACGGTTACCATGGAAACCAGGACAGGATAACCCTCGCGATTCTTTCACGCTCCAGTGGCTGACCATTATGTTCTGAAATATTCAGCACCGCCATAATGCAAAAAAAAAAATTACGCGCCTGGATGAAGAAGGCAGGCACAGGCGAGAAGATCCCAGTTTTCCTCTTCCTGGCGACCTTGGTCGCAATTTGTAAGCCAACCGCGAGCAATGTCGATTAAAATCAGCGCGGTAATAGGTCAAACCCTGGCAACCATCACGCAAATACAATTTCACTTACTCGGCAAGACATATCGAGAGGAGAGAGACCCCGCCAAAAATAAAGGTCTGTTTGCTTGTTCAGGGATCTGGCACCGACTGAAGACCTCTAAATCGATATTTAAAAAAAAAGCTCTCAAGGCCCCTGAGACCGTAGAGTAAGTAGTACGTGCTGGCGATGCATGCGCCGAGATGAATGGACTCGCAGGATGCCCTAAGCACGCATCATAAAGGGAATGCCTCAAACGAACACATAACTTCAGATACCGACTGCTGACGCATGCTGAAAACCTGTCCTGTTTCTCACGACCCAGATACGTAGAAATTCATCCTGAGCTCAGCTCGACCTTGCTCCACTGACAGAAATCATATGGCAAAGGGAGCACATAAAGAATTCATACGAATCGATATTGCCATTTCTCACTCTCACTTAATGCGTACGTACGCAATGAGACCACTCATCTACCAGCTCGTTTTCACGTGATGAGGCACCATTTCCTTCAACAAAGACTACTTAACGCGGCCAATGAAGCAAGTGCGTGTCACGGGGAAAAAAATTCTCTTAATGGTATTGGACATTCATGGAACATCGCAGATCTGCCAACCGGAAGCGTTGAGATATAATTTAGAAAAGTCCAGATCCTGCTTCGCATGTATAGCATTTAACTCCTGTAACCTCTCTACAGGTCTCAACTTTTTCTCAGATTCACTTCAAGAGTTGGCTGGAGCATTTGAAATGTAAGGCATATTTGCCAGTCAGAGAGTTGAGAAACTTCCGGAAGCTTCACCTCGTACATGGAAGGTGAACAGAAAATTACATTGCCAGCCAAAAGCCATGTCACACCTTTTAATAATCTATTAAAAGTATCAGAGAATATGACTGTTCAGTCAAGTTAGTGCTACAGGCAAGCTAAGACTATGTCAGCAAATAAAAGCTCCCTCATCCATCATAACTCTTCTAAGATTTTTTGGGCAATAGGGAAACATGCCTCATAAATCATACAGACTCACACATTTGAATTTATATTGCCAAACTGTTGGTCTTTCTTTTATATTCCTACTGTTACTGGTTCTCTCATGCATGGGATAAGTCCTCAATGAGACAAGGTTATACCTTGCAAGGACTAGAAAATGATACTTCATGAAGCCTCAATCACAGCCATAACTTAGTTTTTCCCAACAGCAAGCTGAGAGAAGAGGCAGAAGTGATGTCTGCCCAAGTTTGACCAGTCATTAAAGAACCAGGAACAACAATTTGGTCACACCTCTACCTTACCCTAAAGGCATATGTCAATAGAGGCCATCATGAGAAGACAAGGGATCTTTGACTTTCCTCAAAAACTGTTCACTATGGTCTGAACAAGGATGCGACTTCAGAGATTATACAAGTATAGACAACAAAATATTGCACTTATGTCATTGTGATATGTACTGTGATTAGATTACAGTATCTAGGTCAACTTAAGAGCACCACAAAAAAGAGCCCTACCAAATGGGAAGAAATTCTATATAATGTCTTTGTTTTCTATCATGAAATCTAGGATCAACATCATGATCATGAGCAACACCCATTCTGATTCTCATTTGGTCTGGTCAAGAAGAAGCCTCCTGTAAACGATAACTGACCAATGCCTTCACACAATAACACAAACTAGAGATGGCAAACACTCACTGGCTTCACGTGGTGATCCTCCATAACCAGAGTCATTACTTTCAATGACATCACTAGGCAAGCTTGGCTTCCGGGGAGTTGTTGGCATTTGTGAGCAAGTCTCATCTTTTATCCATTCCACATGAGACACTGAAAAAGTGAAAGGGGATTTTCAGCATGATTCAATGTGATTATGCAATTGCAATAATGAATGCGATAAACCTGGCAGATCATCTGAATCAACCCTATCAGGTCTCTATACATATATATACACTTTTATAGGGTTTTACCAAGCTTTATCAATGCTCACCAGGGAAATAGCCAATGTCTCCAGTTCTTTGGTTTCTTCCCTTCAAATAACATCCTCCTGCAGGCTCAGCCTCCAAACTTTCCAAGTCTGGAAAAGGCGGGTATGCTTCCAATATGTCATTCAGTTCGAGGCTCAGTTCATTCACATTGTGCGACTTGAAGGCATACAGTGCTCGATATTTTCTAGACTCGTTCATCTTGGCCAAAATATGTTCACTAGTCTGCAGTTTCTCAGGTCCACACTCAGAGTCATAATTTTGTAAATACATTCACAATCCTTTCAAACTGGCAGTGTAGTAACAGATCCTTCCCTTGCATCACAGGATACTCAAGCATTCAGGGATGAACTGGCATGGGAATGATGCCATTCCCAACACCCTGTCAAAGAGGGGGGAGTTCATTTAAAAAAGTTCTACAAAAATCACATCCATACCATATGGTCTGAAACAGAAAAAAAAGCCATATTAGGTCAAAATTGACATAGATAATGCCACAATTAAAAATATCCAACTATGTGACCAGACAGAAAAAAATACAGCTTCAAAAACATATGCCTATATATACACAAGAATGAGGTTGCACAGCCCAGGACAATTAAAAGGGAACTGCAATAGAAACAAAATGCTAAAGAACACTGCAAGGAACTACAAGGCTAAGCCTAGTCCAACAGTAACTATCAATGTGAAGACTGCAGGAGCACCATAAGTTCCTAATACAGAATACCATGGAAGGATGGTAGTGCCAAAGGCCTAATAGTGTTTTATAATTGAGCTCAACTTTCTTTTTCAATTGCTCCTGACACACCCAAGATAGGTTGACCTTACTAATAGCAATTAGCAGACACTAATATTATAATTTAAATAAATCGAACATGTGGCAGGCCCCCCAAAAAAAGGCAAACTCAACTGAAAATCACTATGTGGTCAATGGGCCTGTACTATGACCATTAATGGTAGGTCCCACTTCAAATACAAGAGAATGACCAAAAGGAAGTCTACACTGAGTTGAAAGTCAAACGTACATAGACATATGTTTGATTTCCACCAACATGAATCTCAAATGGGTGTGAGTAAAGAAAGTTGAGTCTGAACCTCGAAGCAGGACCTTCACCTTGCCCTTGAGATGATTAAATGCCCTCAATTCAAATTAATGACATGTTGAATCAACAGGCAAAGATCACCTAGATTTCAATGCAAGTGCAATTGCTTAATGCTCCTCACCAAATGTGATACTCTAAAATGCCTAAACCAGGTTCTCAATGTTTATGATGATGTGATACCTGTTAGAGGAGGTGAATGAATGCTTGTCTACCAAAACCAAAATCTATTAATATCCAAAACAAACTCATATCTGACATATATACTGTATCTCTTCCATTAAAATTTAAATCCTTGCAACATCAAATTAAACTAGTAGCCAATGTCAGTAGTTGGATAAAGGTCAATAATATCTGCTACTGGAACTTACATTTACAGGGTGTAAAACCTGTGCCACTTCAAATATTAAATTGTACTGAACAAGGAACTGTACAAGGATGCACTTTGTTCAGTAATCTGCAGACTTGGGGATCTACATGAAGAAACAGGTAATGCTACAAGAATGCAAGATACTTTACTTCATTGGCTGATTTCAAAGCAGCAGTTCAGTTGCAGTTCAGACTATGATCTGACTGACGTTCCATAGTGTTCTTGCCAACAACTCTTACAACGAAACCTCAAACGTAACTGCAAATGAATTGAAACTGAACTGCAACTAGACTGCATTTTTTAAATCAGTCATTGTTTTATAGGTACATTCAAAAAACTAAAGAAACTTTTACGTAAATCACTTCTGGCATTTCAAAATGCAGGTGTTACAATACCCAAGCCACTAGCACCATTTGGTATTAGCTATTACAGATATTTCACCTTCCTATCATCAAAAGATGTCATCTGGGTCTAGAAGGTGTTAAGCCACCTATTCTGGCCCCAAACTTCCATGTATCACCAAAATTGGTCAGGACTAGTCCATTCACCTATGTGTAACATTAGCAAAGATATAACCCAAACAGATAAATAACCCAGACAGATCTTGCTTGTGATTGCAAAGAGCCAACAAACCTAATCTTGGTATGAAATGTGAAATGAGAGGAACTATGTGAGAAGGATGCAACTCAAAAAACCACGTTTTCCAGTTATAGTCTGTCATTTTTTATGCATCTGACATGATTCTATTTGAATATGAATAAAGAAGGTGCTAAGAAGGAAAAGCTGACATATTGCTTCATGTGAAACTCATCATATGTGAAGGATCACTCAGTGCTTTTGCATTCAGGTAAAGCAGTGGATTTGGACCAAAGTCAATCGCTCAAGTAGAGTAAAATATTATGCCATGTTCCACATGTCTCAAACATCGTGTTAACACAAACCTATGTTAACTGATGCGGAGAAATGACATCACTCTACATGATTCTCAAAATTATTTTCCACCACATCATAACCTCTGTTGAGAATGGCTGCATGATCCATGGAAGTTGCTTATTTTCTCTCACTTTGCAGTTCTTACAAAACTTAGCAATGACTTTACCAAGATAGCCCTTAACCTAGTAGGAAGATCAGGAGACCTCAGGAACAATCAAGCATCAATAATAGGAAACCATTCCTAACATTTAAAATTCATCCTCAATATCAATGAAGTTCGAAAAAAAAGGGGAGCATTAGTTGCACAAATGTAACATTCCGTGCCCACCTTGCCGTCTTGATTTAATTTTCCGATTTATACCTAGGCCTTTATGACTAGGCGAGCCGCACAGTTACTATTTCGGAAATTCAGTTGCAGTCCTCTTTACAAATGGAAAAGGAGCAGAAGCTCATCGAATGCAAGGTCTTTCTCCCACGGCATACCCTCAACCGACGGAAACTGACTTAGAACTGCTGAAACAATCCCACACTTGTGCGGGACTGTTACAGCTGTGCCTAGACGTGACTGGCCAGCCAGTCGCGCACGTAACACGTACGGGAGTAGTCCATCCGAAACGGCGGGAAAAACGATGCACAAGCGCGAAACACTTCTCCAATCCCACCCAAGAACCCACCTTCCCACGCTTCCACGTTTACCTCTCCCTCTCGCGCACTGAATCTAGAAAGCCTTAACCCATTCCCTAAGCTGGTTCGGCCACGCGCGACGGCTGTAAAGAGCGAGTTTCCGAAGCGCGCCTGAGCTGCGCTCGATTTTGCAAATGTCAGCGTCCCAAGAAAAATAATTGTATTCTGGAACAAATAAAAAACGAATGAATTAGTTGTCCTTCGATGCGAGGTACTCGCTAAAGCACGTTGCAGTTGTTTCCCTAACAGAATCGCGTACGATACGTTGCTTGCACGAAGCCGACTTCCAAACTTCAGACTGGCTAAAACCCTGGACTTTGTTAAAGTAATTATAGGATATGCTTGATCTGATAATCGGTTTGGGGCCCTGGAATTCTGATCATTCAAACGATATATTGATAACGTACCTAAACCTTCCATAAGCACCATCGAGAGCTAATTAAGGAATTGCCTGAAACAGATTATATACAAAATCTGCAGGTTAGTCTTCACTGGAAAAGCTCAACCTGTTTATGTTGAGCGTGGGTGAGCAACTGAAGACCCCAGCCATGGTTTCCATTAACATCGTTTCCTCAAATGAGAGAATGACCTGCTTTCAGCAGATTATATGATAACCAGTTTTGGGGAATATCTCAATTATTATAGCCTTTTGAATTCTCTATTGGAATAACCAGAGGCACATATTAAATGGAACTTTTTCAGTGCATTGGCAATTGATTTCCTATCAAACAACAACTCTACAAATTATACTAATTTATAATGGTTACTGCATACCAATCTTTCATCAACAATTTAAATATATATATTGATGCATTAGATAATATTTTTTAGGTAAAAAACACTGGTAAAAAACCATCAGCATCCTGGAATCTCTGATCATTTAACCACATCCTAAATGGATTTTCATGAAGCTAAAAAAAAATTGGGTCAGTTGCCCACAAATCATCACTTTCATATACTCTGTATATGTATTGAGAATTAGACCTATTTCCATAACATTGGAATCTGCCTTCTTCCTATCCTTCATGTTCTCTTTTCCAGTTGCAGACGGAAAAATTATTATCAATAGTTTATGCGGTTTGGATCCAGTCTGAAAATAGCCAGCTCACACAAGGCTATAATATGAATCAATAATGTGAATCAACCTAATGCTTTATTAAGGATTTTCCTCAGTACTCTCGAACTTGCTCTTATATTGTGACAGAGATCTCTATCTCCATGAAATACAAAGTGGAACATTCTCTACGTGTACTGATTTTCATAATAAAAATGGAGTTGGACATCAAATTGTCCATCTTCATGCAGGCCTGAAATTAAGTCCTAAATTGCTCAGTCCCAGTTAGACCACCAAATGGGCTTATTTTCAGAATCCAACATGATCGACCCACACCCAACCCAAAACTTGAATGCCAACCAAACTTCACATCCTGACCAGACACAATCCCAACAAAAAATACATAAAAAATTGTCAGTCCATGTTTACACCTTCTCACTGAATGGCATGATGAGTATGAAGCAGGGCTAGCACTAACTCTATGTGTGCCCTAAGCAGGCCGATACTAAATCCTTCCTATGAATCCTGGCTAACAGGAGGTGTTGAGTGGAAGAAAGCTTGAAAGGGATGTTGAGCAAGAGAAGGGCAAAGAGGGTTGCTCAGTAGCAACATGTCTGTCCACTATTCCAGCCTATGGACAAGGCATAAAAAAAACTTGCACAATTTCCTGGCCCAACTAATAGCCTATGCAGTGCTCTATTCATGATGCATAAGAAAGGTATGATACATAATAGTATGATTCAATCTGACACTCAGTGAATTGTAATTGGAGCTTCCTACCATGAACATAATACATATTCATGAACATAATAATACATATATACACCCACCCTTCACATCACTACATGGCAAAATAGAAGAATCACTTGAAGCAGGCCCACAACTCTCCAGCACAGGTTAGACCCCATTTACTTTAGTCAAAGGGAAATAGACCTCAGAGAAAAAGATTAAGACAGGTATTAGTGGCAGTGGGAAGTGAACCTAGACTACTTGTACAAATGGAGCAAGGCTCCATACTCTCCATACTAAAACCACAAAAGCAGGCCACAGCCTATAAAGCAGTGTAACATGGTCAATACAGACCCTAGGCATAATGGTTGTGAGAAACCTAGGAATTCACCCTGTGATGAGTTCACACATTCCAATAAAGGCGCTGGAAATATGAGAACTATGAGCCCAGGGGCATCTTCAAAATACCAGTTAACATTAAAGTCTGTAAATTGTTAATTCCGCTGAGATTGAGAAACAATTGAAAGCTATGGTTTACACAAAAAGGGTGGGCTACTTCACCTCAAAATCATTGTAGCCATACAACTGCAAGAGAAAGATGTAGGCTAAAGCTGTATCAAGACGTAACATTAAGCCAACGCACGTGCTGTAGCCAGAGGCGAGTCAACAAACGCCAGCCTACCTTAGGCCTAACGCTAGGCCTAGCCTATGACAGGACCAATGTACATTGAAAATGAAAATGCGATTTTTCGCTTTGGCAAGGGCATAAGTTAATCTACATTTACTGCATGACGATAAATCTTAGTAAATGCTACAAATCGGCCTCCTTGGCAATGTAACGTTATGGATTTCCCAAGTGTCATGAATAAACTTGCTCATATGGCCATTCCCAAATTCCCGAGCTGTAGCATTTCTGGATAATTGAATACCCGAAAAAGTAGCTTATCTTTCAGACCACGTATAGATAAGATAACCCAGATAAGAAAGCAGAATATCTAGGGAAATACATTTATCTACGCAGTTCACGCGTCCACTCGGCAGACGCCGGAACCTCCTTCAAATAGCAAATTCGACTTCTCTAAAATGCGCGAACGCAAGATTAATGCTGGATTAGCCTTCAATGAAACGAAATTTCCATTTTTCTGTTGTTGTGAGCGCTTTCACGAATTGAAAATTTCAATAAAGATTTTTCGATTTTTTGGCATTGTTTTGTGCATCTTCATTTCCCGAATAGAGCATTTTTCGAGGTGCGCGAGATGTGGAGAATGTGTCCCAGATAGAGGCATCTAGCGGAATCTTTCGTAAGCAGCCAAATCTCCACCTATTGGATAGAGAGCCATCGCCAGCAGCCGATTCTTTTCATCCTGAATCCTACAGAAAATTAGGGACAAATCGAAAGGCAAGTGATTCTTTCTACTCTTTCCACCCCCATCCCAGGTACGACTAAGATCAAACGGAGGGAAATTCGCGTTTTTCTCTCTTCTGTGTCTGTCACCCGTACAACTCGGAATAAGTTCTCCAAATGCCATATTTCGTCACTGTAATCTGTACTAACTCTATTTTCGATCTGTGCACCACCGATCGCTGAGCATGATACTCGAATGGACTCGTCTTCTGAGCTCTTCATTTTCGTATGACTCCCTCCGTTAAAACGTCTGATACCGAGCAACTACACTCCGATGCATTTTGACCAAATAACAGAAACCTAGAACCCCGCACAAAACAGCAGCGATGGAGTATGCATAGGCCAATGGCATAGCCCTTTTACCAAAGGGGGAGCTAGGGAAAATAGGAGGCCTAGAATTTTCCAAGCCTCCCTGCTATTATCGAAAGAGATTATTTTCGTGGGGGGGGGGGGGGGGGGGTAGATGGCTAGAATCAGAGTTGGAGGATTAGAACCAAAATTGGAAGGGCTGGAACCCCCTCAACTCCCCCTCGCTGCGCCACTGGCATAGCTACGTACTAAAGTACCTGTATTCGTTGATATCCCCCCCCCCCCCTCCCCTAATAATACCTGCCTATCAACTTCAACTTCTCTTTTGGGGTATGTACTTGCATATCTCCAAGTATCAAATTTTTTTATTATTCGTTCTGCAGCGACGTACAAAGAGGCGCAATGTCGTGCCTCGAATATCGAAAACTTGCTTTGATTTCTGCTGCCTTTGTCCAGGAGTACCGAAAAGGATTAGATTTTGTTGTTATGGTACGACGACTCATTGCCATTTTTATTCGGCTGTCTCTCCAGATCGAGTCAGTGCTAAGCTCTATTTCGCTTTGTTTTGTCCAGATTCTTTCCTTCATTCGCTGAGTTCTTGCCAAATGCAATATCTGCACTCCGGGCTAAAGCGCAGAATTTTCCTGGAAGCCAAGTCGTAGCGGCCGATTAGCGTGGCAAAAGGGAATGAAAGAAGCTGAATAAAAGAAAATGACATGCATAATAAATTCCTCGTCGTAAGACGAACGACCTGTCTCTTTTCAATGTCCCCCGGGGGACCCGGTCGTAATCATGCTGATTGCCCTGCGTCCTGACCGATTCCCAAAAGACCCATTTCACAGTGGAAGAAAAGAATAAAATCCAGGTCAATGGGTCGGTGCTCGACGCGTAACCATCGGATTTTCTCCACCGAGGCTGGAGAATGTTTTAAATTCCCGAAAGGAGATAAAAGTCAAATTCCCGGGTGTCTCGAAGTTAGCCTTCATCTGGATCCTGGGCCTTCCCTAGCATGCTCTAGGGACTCAGTAATTGCAGATTTACTCAAGTTTCCGAATGTCTCCAGACTACTGGCGCTTTCGTCGTGGCCAAAATGGTCGTGGACAGTTCGTTTTGGACGTATGCATATTTTGGTCCCAGTACAGTTTCGTCGCCACCACCGATTCCTTCCATCGTCATGCGGGAAATTCGGGCGGGGTGATATCAAACGATAACGTCTCAACCCCAGCAAGACACTCTATGTATACTCGCTGTATGAGAGCTCCAAAATGCGCCTGTCGTTGATTGCAGCTCATGAATTAATAAAGAAGTCTTAAACCGACATAGTGAGCTGCTCATTTGTGCATGCCACTCCCTATTACCTTTGCAGCTCTGTAGTTCGCAGGTACGCTATCTCATAGTCACTTTGTCTCTGCGATGAAAAGTTACCCTTCCTAGGACATTTTCCATCCCTGTAGATCTATGTTTCTCAACCGAGAATTAAGAATTCGCAGACCCCTCCCTCCTTCAGCCAACTTTTACTATATTTTCTTTGAAATTACTAGCACAAATTTTATAAGCTTACAAAGTTACGAGATAGTGGGGGGGGGGGGCGCAGGTCCTCTCTATTCCGAAATTGGTCCGCAGGTTAAAAAAATATTGGGTACCACTGCGGTAGATAATTTGATCCATTCCAGTGTCATGCACGTGAGAATTTAAATTTGCATATGAGCGGTACAACTCGGGAAAATGCCGAAAACTCCGAAAACACATTTCCTCCCTTCCTTTTCCCCTCCCCAACTAACAGGAATAAGGAATTCCAGTGCCTCGCTTCTTCCTGTGAAAATTTTTCATCTCGCTTTTACTTTTGTCTGCAAGCTAATGCCTCGCTGTGCTCGTGCTGTGTCTGTCTGTCTGTATCTGTGTCTGTGAGGCGTCCGACGTTTTGTCCGCAACGAACTGTCCGCGACGAAAGCGTCAGTCGCGATGTCTCCAGACTTGTAGCATGCACCTTCTAAAATCGATTTTTTTAAATTCAGAATTCTTTAGTATAATTGACCTCACAAGAAACAGAAAATCAGTTGATTAAGCGAAAAATAAAAACCGCTTTCTGAGCAGGTAGACAACCCTGCAATTAATTGTCCGTCAAATTCTGAATAAAATAAAATAAGTTTGATGGGTTTTTCATGGAACGGATCGCATCGATCTGCTTCCAGCGACTCGAAAAATTTTCCCTAATGTCGATGTGAAGTACCGAGACACCCATGATAATGCTAGGCGATTTAAGTCTGAGTGTCCAACTAGAGCGGAAGAAATGACCTGGGAATCTCGATAAAGTTTTTTTTTTTAGCGTGAGATAATGTGCCTTTCCGGGAAGCAACTGCTTCTCAAGACGGATGCCCTTGGCGTCCCCTATGAATATAATATGTGTTCATCTGCATGAACCATGGCCGAGGATTAAAATGGAATTTTTAATGGCTGCATGCATGCATGAGCAATGCGCTGATGCATACGGAAACAGGGAGCGTCCCGTGGATCATCCCTTGGATCATCCCCTGCAGCTTTAATCCGGTTGCCCGAGGACCTCCTGGGACTTCTACTCGGATTCTGTGACGGATGTAAACGGGAATGTTACCTTTCCGAGAGGAAAACAAGAAATATTATTTTATGTATTTTATTATTAAAGGATAGATCATATTTGAACCTCTTCATGAGATTTTGGCGTTCCCGTTGTTTACCCCCGATTCTTTGTTGTCCTTGAAGGATAATATGCGAAAAAGTGCATGTTCTTTGTGCATGAGAATGCACTTCTTCGGGTAGAAGGATTCGACAAGTCTTGAAAGTATGGAAAATTAGTCTTAACCGAATGCAGATTAAATCTTGGTGAACCAGACTGAGATTTCAGCAAGAATGGCCAAGGATGGAAAAAACTGGGGATTGGATTCGGAAACTTTTGAACTTGAAACTTTTGCCCGTTTCGACGCGGTGTTTCCCCTTCTGATGGCCTTCGCGAAGGAAAAAGGGCTGATATACTATTAATGACGTCGCAGCTCATATTCTGGTGTGTAGTAAGAACGACCAGACCCAGAAAAAGACTCATTAAAAGAAGCCTGTGTAGAAACCAAGTTGCAAAAAAGTGCAAATTGCAGGCCGGAGAGTCTCGAGAGCATTCCGGGAATGATGGCGAGAATTATGGAAAGCATTCTGAGGGAACACATCTTAGGATTCCTCGAGGGAATCAAGCTCTTTCGGGAATCCCAGCTCGGCTATAGGAGCCGATGAAATTGTCTTACCGACTTGCCCGAATTTCACGATTGGGTGACGGATGAGGATTAAAGGAATCACGCGGACATTGGTCTGTGTGAAGTGAGCTAGAGCTTGAGCACAACTCAATTTTGGAGGCGCAGCTCCATTCGCGATGAATAAAATGCCCCGGGGCTTGAGATCCGTGCCGGGAGATTTATACAGGTAGCTCCCTCCTTTGTGGCACTTTCTATGTACAAAAGGGAGCTTTGTCTCAACCCTCGAGCTTAAACTCGCAATCATCGGCAGTAGACTCGGCTACGAAGTCTCCTTGGGGATACGTGATGACACATGCTAACGCCCGGGCGCAGATTCTATAGATCCATAATGGCATCAATGACCCGCGATGTAAAAGAAAATCTCAGTTTTC